CCACACCATCCTGCGTTTAACTCTTGGTGGCTTCCTATTCCTTTCTCTTTGAGTCTTACCCTATACACAGTCAATCCTCCAGCTTCCTAGGTACCCCTGCCTCAGGGCCTTTGCACAGCACTTCCTTGGATTCCTCTTTATTCTTCAGATATCTGTCTCAGAGGCCATCTTATTCACTAATATTCATAGCCGGGGCTGTAGCTCAGTAAGTAGTACAGCACATGCCCAGCATGCATAAAGCCCTGAGTTTAATCCCCAGCACCAAAGGCTTACCTATTATTATTTTATGATAGGCTCTTGCTATACAGCCCAGGCTAGCCTCGAATTCTCAGGATCAAGCAATCTTCCTGCCTCAACCTTCCTAGTAACTGAGGCTAGAGGTGCCATCATATCCTGCTTTCCAATCTCCTTCTTTACAGCATACTCTTAATGATCATTTTTTAAAAAATAATTTCCTTTTAGATTATTTACTTTATGCATATGGATGTTCTGTCTGTGAGTATGCAAGTGCACTATGTCCATGTACTAGCCTCGCAGGACAGACAGCATCAAATCCCCTGGAACTGGAGTTACAGACAGCTGTGAGCTGTCATGTGGGTGCTGGGAATGGAACCCGGGTCCTCTGAAGGGGAGCCAAGTGCTCTTAACTGCTGAACCACCTCTCTAGCCCTGATCATTTTTTTTTTTTTCTAATAAATCTTTTTTCTAAGATATGTTTTGTTTTTTTTGGTTTTTTTTTTTTTTTGGTTTTTCGAGACAGGGTTTCTCTGTGTAGCTTTGCGCCTTTCCTGGAACTCGCTTTGGAGACCAGGCTGGCCTCGAACTCACAGAGATCCACCTGGCTCTGCCTCCCGAGTGCTGGGATTAAAGGCGTGCGCCACCACCGCCCGGCCAAGATATGTTTTTTTTAATTTGGATTTTATGTGTGGGGTTTTTTTTCCTGTTGTCTTATTTTGCTTGCACATGCCTGCTCACCATGTGCAGGCAGTGTCCTTGGAGGCCAGGAGAGGGGGTCGGAAATCTGAGTCAGTGCATGCAGGGAATCAAACCCAATCCTCTAAAGAGCGGCCGAGGCCCTCACCTGCCAGTGGTCTCTCCTGGGCCAGCCTTTTGTTTTTGATAACTTGCTCTTTTCCTCCCCACGACTGAGCACAATCCACTATTTCTTCCTTGTGTCCCTTTGTTTACGATCTACTTCCCAACGAGGGCTCTGAACTTCCTGAAAGCAAGCACCATGCCTCTCTGGCACTTTATACCCAGCATCTGGCATACAGCAGTCCTAAAAAGTACTTATGGCTCAGTTGGTAAAGTGTCTGTCAGGTAAGCAGAAGGGCCCAAGTTCGGATCCCCGCACAATGTAAAAGCCAGGCACAGCAGCTAGTGTTGTCTACAACCCCAGCACTGGAGCAATTGAAGGTAGAAGCTTGCAGCTCATTGGCTGGCCAGCTCAGGCCAATCAAATAATAACAACCCCGTCTCAAATTAATAAGGTGGAGGGAGATGGGGAGATGACTTAATGGCTAAAACCCTTGTCCCGCAACCCTGAGGATTGAGGTTCTGATCCCCAGCATCTACGTAAATGTCAGGTAGGTGTGGTGGCCCACCTGCAATCTGAGACGGGCACAGGGGATCCCCAGAACTCCCTCTATTCTTACTGAGCGTGTGACAGGTGAAATCACAAGTAACAGCATCATCACCTAGTGACATCTTGGAGGTCCTCTCTTCCTGTGGTCATTTCATCCCATGGCCAAGATGAGGGAGGGGTGCTTATCACAAGACGCACAGAGAGCCAGCTCAGTTTTCTACACTGGAGTGGGAGGGGACCGTGCTGCCTGAGAGATGATTGGTTCCAGGAAGGCCTAACGTTATCTTTAAGGGAAATTACAAGAAAGAAGGGGGTGAGGGTGGGGGTGGGTACGTGTAACCAGTAACAATATTGCTTAAATTTTCCACCCTGCTATAAAACAACTTCAATGGGCATAAGGAGCCCAGAGCACACCTCCAACGGCTTACTTGTGACTTAAAGACATCGATGGTCAGCTAAGCCATTTCTGCACTTAAGCCTCTCAGAAAGGTAACTCCTCAACTCTTATTTCTAATAATCCAGAATTTCCCACGGGTAACTTATTTCAGCATCTGACTGTCTTCAAAAATTTTCACACCATCTAACCTCTACAATATCTGAACGCTTCCATAGGCAGACACCGGAGTCTCAGCTGAGACAGGAAACAGACCCTCCACCACCCCCTCCCTGTTTTAACGTCCTGAAAGTGACTGCAACACTACATTTTATGGTGTTTACTTGCATATCGGCCCTCAGACTGAATAGATCTAGCCTAGAGATTATTTCCCACATTTTGTTGCTTTTAGCACCTGCTTTGGTTTAAAATCAGTCTACTACAGGAGACTAGAAAGCTGGGCTGAGGGTCTTACAAACTGTCTACCTGAATGTACTTCCGACTCAGATCTGCTGCTATCACGGTACTTAACTGGCTCCTATTTAACCAATGCCCACTGAAACCTCAGGTCTTTAACAGATACAAGAGTAAAATCAACTCCTTTCTACCTTTCCTAACTGAAGGCCACACATTCCCTGCTACTAAATGTATCCTGCCTATATATTAGGCTGCCCTATATAGTAGGCTACTTGGTACTTTAAATATGTGTATCATCACATTAAACTTAAGGACAGAAAATTCAGAATCATGATAAAAAAGCATATTCTCTTGTCTGCAAGTAAATTTGCTATATAGGGGTTTATCAAGAGAATAATTAATAAGTGCGTTCTTAACATGATAATGGACCTCAAATTTCAGTGTCTGAAACTAAAAAAAAAAAAGCCACCCTCTGTTCAGTAACTGTTTTGTTACACACACAAACATAAACACACACATACACACAAAGAGAGACAGACAGACAGATAGACAGAGAGACAGGCAGACAGAGAGAGCCAGTGCAGACCAAGATCTTAGATTTTGTTTTGTTTCTGATTTTTAACATATAAGGTAGAATCAAACCATTAACAACTAGCCAAACCTGTTTCTTTCTGTTAAAACTGACACCTCTCAGGCTATATCTTAGTCTTCTACTCTCAGCTTCCTGGGGCACCTCAGAGTTCTACCAGGGCATCAGACAGGCTCCGTTTAACAGGGTTCCCCCAGCAGCTAGGAAAGTCCCAGAAAGCGGTAGATGGAAACTTTGCAATATCACCTACTTGCTGAAAAGCAGACATTCTATGGCAGTTATAAAAACCCACTAAGTAAGCACAATTTCCCTGCCAGTCAATATTGTGACTAAGTGGTAACCCGCTCACATGACAGAAACAGGAACAGCCATGTAGGCTTAGGATTACCTTAGAGAAAATGAGGAAAAATGATACAGGGCTGAAAGAGCATGAGGACGAGGGTTTTCACCCCTCACACAGCAGTGCAGGACCTTTTGAACCTTTACACTGGCTTCATTCATCCAGGAAGCAGCGACTCTTCACAAACATCAATTAAGGGCAGCAGCATGCTCTACTTATAAATAGGGAAACTGGGGTGTTTGGAGCCAGAACAACCCAACTGTGAGTCAGGACCAAGCATACATCAGACCCAGCACTCTGGAAGCCCCATCTCTGGCAGGGGACCCAATCTATCTTGCAAGGGGATGAAGTCGTCATATAAGAAACAGTGAACAGAGACGTGAACATTCATCTTGGAATGGGACAATATGAAGAAGAGCCAACAGTCAACAACCCAAGCCCCTCAAACGCCGTTTACTCAAGATGGAAAATAAGGATGGCTTCCGCTTCCGCTCCGCGGGAACGGTATGCAAACATCCATTGCAGGTGGATGTTTCTTTCGGGATACCCCATCCAGCCTCAAGTCAAGACTCTCGTTTTTTATTTGAGTTTGGAAATGCCTATTCATCTGTGCCCATAAAAAAACGAATCAGACACGCTGAAACTGAACCACCCTAGCCTGGAAACTACAGTTGCTCTGGCTCCTCCTGCCCCACCCCCAAGTAAAAGTTAAAACACTCTGTGTATCTCAAGTGCAGGGACTGAACGAATGGGTTTCATCAACTAGGGTTTAGGTGGTAACATAACTGGCATCTCTAAGGTCAAGCAAAGTAACCAGTTGGGCGAATCTAAGCTTTCTTTGGTACATGAGATGAACATAATCAAATGCTCCAGTGGTTAAGCTGCCCTTTCCAAACACCAGTGAACAAGAACAAATACAGCTCTAAGACCTTAAACTGAACTGGGGTTTGCCCAGGTTTTCCGGCAGAACCTTCAACTGAGGAGCAATAGGTGGGCTAGTGAACAGCCACCTACCAGGAATCAGGACCAGACCGAATTTACCAAACTCCAACGAGTCACAATGCTCATTTCTACTGATCTTGGAATCACCATCTCCCACTAATTCAGACCCCAAGCAAAACACCAAACTGTTCCAGAGTTCATTCTGAGGGGCAGCTCCAGGTGGGAATCAGCAATCACCAGGCTGGTGGTTTCCCCCCTCCCCCATTCTTGTCCTCACCCCTCCTCTAGCCATTCGCCCAGCAACCGTCCAGCTCTGGGGTGCTGGGGCTTTCCCTCCAATTAGTTTTCTCTGCTCCCAGTCCCCAAGGGTTCTTGAGCTCAAAGCGTCAAGCTTAACAAAATACCCAGGGGGCCTTCCACCTAAATTAAAGCGCGTATCAGGCACACACTACCCAACCTAACAGGAGTTCTCCTACCCGCATATTGTTTCAATTCATCAAAAATTCATCTAGCGCTGACTGTGCGTGCCGAGGCGCCCGGAGGATTCAAAAACCTCTCCTGCCTTCCAAAAAGCCCCCATCCTGGGAGAGCTGGGACGTGACAGCCGGACGAGAAGCCGGGTTAGGTGAGACTCGCGGGCGAGGCCAACGCGCGGTGGCTGCCCGGCTCGCCCCCCCCCCCCCCAGGAGCAGCGCTGCCCGATCGCCCTTCCTCCCCACCCCTCCTCCGCCCTCGACGCCCCGCGCCCACTCACTGCGTCTTCCTGCGGCTCTGGTCTCGGTGCAGCTCGCGCAGGTCCACCTCGGCGCGGCCCAGGAACTTATCGAGACCGAGCAGCGCGCGGTGCAGGACGGTGAGCTGCAGGGTGGCGGCGGCGGCGGCGGCGGCCGAGGGCGCGGCCCCCGAGGACAGCAGTGGCGGCAGCTCGAAGGTGGCCTCCTCGCGCCACACGGGCGCGCCCAGGCTGCGCTCGGACACCGACGTGGCGTACTTCTCCTTGCCCACCTGGATCACCGCGTACGCGTCGCTCGTGCCCCCGGGACCCTTGGCCCGCAGGCCCCGCGCCTGGAGCACCGTCACCTGCACGTGAGTTGGGGACCACATGGTCCCCAGGCCCCGGCCCGCTGAGGCCGCCAGGGACATGGTGGCCGACGCCGCACCCGCCTTGGAGGCCACAAGGTAGTAGCCGCTGCCCTCGATCTGGACCGCCCACCCGGCTCCCGGGCCGCTTTAAGGCTTCCGGCCACGCCCCCGGGCCACGCCCCCGGGCCCGCGCGCCACCTGCCTGTGGGGCGGGGCTCCCGGGAGGGCCGGGCGGAGAGCGGGGCGGGGCCAGGCGAAGGCGGGGAAACCTAAAGGCAGGTCACGTGGGCTCGCTCCTCGCGAAGAAGCTTTTGGATCCGAAAGGTAGCGTTGCAAGATGAGGTCCTCAGCGGCCGGAGTCCCTAGGAGGGCACAGGAGCTCGACAGGAAGCTCTGGCTTGGAAATCGTGCTTCACTTCTAAGCCTGCACCGGCAAGCCGCAGATGGGTGACGTTGGGTCGATGACTTAAAACTTGGCCTCCGTTTCATCACGGGTAAAACGAGGCAACAGTCCCCCCATGGACGGCTGTAAAGAAAGTGATACATTTACGTTCCCAGCACGGTTGCGTACACGTGGGGAGGGTTCCGAAAGTGGTAACTGTGCGCAGGGTAAGCAAGAAGACCGCCAGCACTGCTCCCCTTGCTCTGGTCCCCTGGGTACTGCTCTGACCGAAGGCAGGCAAGCACCAGGGACGGTATAAGGATGTTATTTGGGCCTGCGAAGGGGAACAGGGGACGGGCGGGAGGGTAAGTGATGGGCCAGCCTGTGTTTCCTGCCCTCACCAAATAAGGTGAGACTAGGTTAGGAAGAGCAAGAAGGGGGAACTGGAAATGGGATTGCCAAACCAATCCCCTTGGTTCCCCATTTCCTCCTACTTAGACTCTTGCGTCTGTCCCTGGGCTCCATCTCTGACCTCCCACCCACCTGTCTGCTTTCTTGTTCCCAGTCTCTAGCAGACTGGTGACTTCCCCGTGTGTTTCAGGTCATCAGCCTTCAAAGGCTGAAGTCTCCTGTGGCGAGTCTTTAGACTGGAAATGTAGCTCTGGAGGCTTTTAGGTCTTATGATTAAGGAGAAGTTCAGCAAAAGATGTGACACATCCAAGGTCCTGCGTTAAAGCTGGGAATAGAACCCTGGTGTCCTGCCTCCACTGCTAGAATTTACTGCACCTCCTCCTGCTCTACCACATTCTCAGAATACCAGGTCCTGCCAAGGTCTCCAGGCTTCCCTCCCCTCCACTGAGTTCCCTCCCATCGGCCTGTCAATTGCTTCCCTAACATCTGGAACCCCTGCTGTGTTGCATCACCAGCAGCTGCATTGATTTCTCACTTAGAGACTTGAAGGCATTCCTCTTTGGGTCCCACCCCTATGTTTTTCCTTGATTTCTGGACAAACAAGCCTACAGCCCAGACAGTTTCTCTCCCTCCAGACCCGAGCTGCTTCCGGTTGTCCTTTTGGCTGTCCTTGCTGCCCCCATCTACCTAAGTACTAAGCACTTCTTCACAAAGATTTCCCCCAAGGTTTGACTTGATGTAGCTACCTTGAAGGCAGGTGACTTGTTCAACTCCTGTTTCTCAGTCTTTAGGCAGAGGTGGTGGTGGTGGTGTGGTGGTGGTGGTGATGGTGGTATGGTGGTGGTGGTGGTGGTATGGTGGTGGTGGTGGTGGTGGTGGTGGTGGTGGTGATGATGGTGGTGGAGGAGGTGGTGGTGATGGTGGTGGTGATGGTGGTATGGTGGTGGTGGTGGAAATAAGACTGCCAAGGTGGCCAGGTCATGCAGATTATCAACACCAGTCTTTGGAGTTTCTACTCAGTGTAAGACCTGTCAAGCCAGCCTCTGGAGGGCTGTGAGCAGTAGCATCCTTCCACTGTGCCCACTACCAGACAGCTGTGACAGCGAAGAACAAGCAGGTGACAGCTGTTTACCTTCAGTCATTTCCCCCTGGAGACTCTACCCTGTGCCCTCTGCCTGCACCATGCCCATTCTTGCAGTCTACACGCAATTGGCTGTCCTGCTTCTTCGGTGTCCCCCAGCTAGACAAAGTCTAGATCCGGCATCCAACTTGGCTCTGGGAGGAAGTTTTCAGCTCTGATTTCCTCCGAAATTATTGGGGCTAGAGAGAGATAGCTCAGCAGTTAAGAGCACTACTTGCTCTTCCAGAGGACCCAGGTTTGATTCCCAGCACCCAAGTGGTGGCTCACAGGTATCTACAGTTCAAGAGGATCTGAGAGTCTTTTCTGGTCTCTGCAGGGACCAGGCATATATGTGGTACACAGACATACATGCAGGCAAAAAACAAAACAAAACATACTTATAAAATAAAAATGCTCTTAAATATTTATTTTTACTGTATTCGTTATTTACTTATTTTTAAGAAAAACAGGGTATCTGCACGTACAGCAGGCTGACCTCAAACTTCTCTTCATCCTGTCTCTGCTCTCTGAGGGCTGAGATTGCAGACATGGGCCATGTTGCTTGGCTTCCACACCCACTGTGTGTGTGTGTGTGTGTGTGTGTGTGTGTGTGTGTGTGTGCCTGTGTCTGTGTGCTGCTTCCACAAGGAAGGGAGCAAGGATTAAGCCAGAGCTGGGCAGTCTCTCAGGGTGAGCAGGCGACAGCATCTCTTCACTCATGAAAGGGATAAAGAAAGGGTGGGTAGAGTGAGGAAAGGGAAATCATGAGCGTGTGTGACCTGGTGTGTTTGGGTTTCTGTGGTCCAGAGACTGACTAAGCAAAGAGGGCAGGACGGGGGAGGGCAGGGCCGCCTCACCACCAGCACACAGTAAGTAAGACCCGTTTTCTCAGACAGTGGACTCCTAGCAGGGGTCAAGTGAGTTGCCTGGGGCTAGGCTTAGTCAGGGAGGGAATCAGACATTTGTCAATCAAGAAGGACTGGGATGTTTCCCGCCCAGTTGCGGACCTACAAAGTGTTTTTTTTTTGTTGTTGTTTTTTTTTTCTTTTTGTCTCAGCACAATGTCCCCAAGACTCAGTGACTGAGTGAGAACGAGTCTGCTCCCATTCTGACAACACCGTAACCGGACTAGGGATACACAGGCACGGTGAGAGGGCTATGGCAAGGCTGGCAGACTCGGGGCTCTGGCTGCCCACCGACTGCACCACCCTTCCTCCGCCCCTGGTGATCCTAAGGCAGGTCAGCAATCTTCCCAGGCCATTGGGAGTGTTTGTAAATACCTCCCCACGGCCGGCAGGGGTGGAGAGAGCGAACTGCTCTTCCTCCCACCATGCCCCGCCTACTCCTGGGTCCAACTGAAAGAGGAAGAGAGTTTCAGTCAACCCTGAGCACACAGGCAAGGTGCCCGGCAGGTTAGACTGGACAGGCGGGGCAGCAGCTGTCCTGCAATAGCAACAATGCACAGCCAGCAGCCGCGAGGCTCCGGGGCCTCTGCACGGGCAGTGACCGGGATGGGCAGGTAGCTCCGATCTGGAATGCAGATTTTGTAGAAGCCCGCAGCTTCCTCCTCATCGGTGCTGGGGGCGGAGGGAAGAGCTATTCAAGCCCAGGGACACTGACACTGCCTTCTGAATGGCCAACCGCGGCCACAAGAAGGTTTAACTCAAAAAAACAAACGACCTCTAGGAATTTTAGGTGGGTGATGTGGCCGTCCAGAGGAGGGGCTGGAAGAGTCTGGTAATAATGGCTGCCTGTTCTCGTTCTTTGCCGAAGATTCCAGGGTGTGGTGGTGACAAACGTCCACACACACAGTGATTCATTCACCCAGCTCTTGGGAAATAGCTGTCTAGCCTCTTGTGTCCAGCTGCCTTGGCACCTGTCCACTAGGTTGGCTGTGACTGCCTGCCTTCTATTGTGAAGGTTTGAGGAGTGTGCTGGTTGTTTTTTGTTTTTGTTTTTGGTTGTTTTGTGTTTTGTTTTGTTTTGGTTTTTATTTTGTTTTGTTTTGTTATTTGTTTTTTTCAAGACAGGGTTTCCCTGTGTAGCTTTGGAGCCTGTCCTAGAACTCGCTCCGTAGACCAGGCTGGTCTCGAATTCACAGAGATTCACCTGCTTCTACCTCCCAAGTGCTGGGGATTAAAGGCGTGTGCCGCCACCATGCAGAACTGGTTGATTTTTGTCAACTTGAGAAAAACCTAGATATATCTGGGAAGAGGGACTCTTCATTGAGAAAATGCCTCCATCAGATTGGCCTACAGGCATGTCTGTGAAACATTTTCTTGATTAATGATTGATGATGAGAGAGGGCCCAGCCCACTGTGGATGGTGCCACCATGGGCAGGTGGTCTAGGGTTATATATGAAAAGCAGGCTGAAAAGCAAGCCATGGGGAGCAAGCCAGTAAGCAGCATTCCTCCATGGCCTCTGCTTCATGCCTGCCTTGACTTCCTGTCCGGACTTCCCTTGGTGACTATCTATAAGCTGTAAAATGGAAATAAACCCTTTTCTCCCCTGGGTTGCTTTTAGGCATGATGTTTATTACAGCAATTGAAAGCAGACTGCCAGAGAAAGGAACAAGAGTCTCTGGGCTGACTCATTAGGGATGAGGAAGTGCAGGTCTCCAACATCAGGGTCTCTTTCCATTGCCCTGTGAGACTTAGTGGTAGAACCTTTGTCTGAGATTCATGAAGTATTACGCAGTACTGCCAAAAAGAAGAAACAAACAAACCTTGCCCCCAAAAAATTTGAGAGAAAAGCCTGGCAGAAGTAGACTGAGATAATGCCCATCGGTTTTTTTTTTTCCATACTTAGTGCTATTGCCTTTGTTTAACAAGGCTGTCACAGATGACATGAAGGTGTTGTCAAGACCTCTCAGAGAAAGCTCTAGATCCCTCAATAACTCCAAGGCCGGAGGACAAATGTGCCCCCACTTCTACCCATTATGCACAAAGACTTCCCATGTCTCCTATTTCCTAGTGTGTCTCTGGGCCCTTCGACTGAACACTGTTTTATTCTAGTGTACACAGGAAATAGGCATCTCACCTCTGCACCCCCATTTCTAGCTTGCTAGGTCTTCCAATTTCTTGTGAGTAGAAGACACCTAAGTAGGAGACATAAATGACTCTCAAACTCCTCTGCATTCACCTGTCAAATCTCTGCAACTGCCACAGCACTACCCTGTACACACACTTTTTTTCATTCAATGTTTATTTATTTGTTCTTATTTATTATAAAAGTAAAGTGGAGTGTATAGCAGGAGTAGAACATTGGACTGCAGATGAGAAAGTCTTCTGTACTTCTAGCTGCAAGCCCCACCTGACTTTTCTAGAGCCTTTTGTGACATTCAGGGAAGGCAGATGTTTTGCAGGCCAAACCGCTTGAGTTGTCCCATTAAAAGCCACCCCTGCTGGACGGTGGTGGCGCATGCCTTTAATCCCAGCACTCGGGAGGCAGAGCCAGGCGGATCTCTGTGAGTTCGAGGCCAGCCTGGTCTACAGAGTGAGATCCAGGACAGGCTCCAAAGCTACACACAGAAACTCTGTCTCGAAAAAAACAAAAGCCACCCCTTAGAGGCTTGCTCTCTTTCCAGCCCTTCCTACATCAGCCACTAGCATTTCTTCTTTCAGCCGCTGGGACCCCTGGGCATAGTTCTCTACAAGGCAGAGCTGGCCAAGGGTCAGGTGTGGATTGCCTTACCTCCTGTTGTCTCCTCTTCCGTTTTGATGCCACTTTACATGTACAAGTATGTGAACTTTGAACCTGAGGATCACACTCAGCCTCAGAGTCCCTCATGTGAGTCCACGTTGGGGAAATCCTACCGCCTTACCCACGCTAGGATTTATTTCACTCCTGGAGTTGTACATTATTCCTGGAATAACATTCTCTCGAACATCCCCCACTTCAAGAGGCAGCAAGCCCTCCTCAGTTCATGTCGGTGACACTAACGTCTTCTGGAACAATCAGGATATCTGGAGAATTTCTCCTTACATTGGGGAGAAGGGTGTAGATCAGGGAAGGGCCTGGAATGCAACAGAAGAGGCTTGCCTAGCCAGCATGTGCAAAATCTTCCTTCCCCAACACCAAGGGTGGAGGGGAGAGCGTGGGAGTGAAGCAGAAGGAGACAGCACGGACTGAAAAGGAGAAGCCAGGAGAAAGAGGCCGAGATTCAAGGGATACATTGCTGAGGTTTGGATCTGGAAGGCCTCCTGTTGTGTATTGTATTTTCTCCCAATCGAAGCACTCCCTCCTGGAGGGAGGCTTGTGAGAGTCAGCAAGGCAGGGAGGGCAACTTAGGAGGCTCAGGAAGCTCAGAAAGCTACAAGATCAACAAGGCCCAATCCCAAGGTTCTTAAAGCAGTAACTTGTTGCTGAGGGAGAGGAGAAGCCTATGGAGCTCCTGGGATGAAGCTGTCCTGGGTGGAGTGGGCCTTTTTGTGACCCATTTGCCTTTGAGTCATTCATACTCCTCTAAGTAACCCTGGCCGTGCTCCCATAAGTAACATCAATCAACTCATTGGTTCACCAAAGCTAGGTTTGGCAGATCCTTTCTTTGGTGCTCTATCTAGGGCTTATTCACATAACATCCCCCCCCCCCAAAGCTTATGGGTTAAAATCTTAGTCCCCAGACCAGTAACTAGTGTGAGGTGGTATTACTCTAAGAGGTAAGGT